GGAGGATCGAAATGCACCAATCACAGCCGACCTTTGTGATATAAATGATACCGTGCAATCAGTCGACCTTATCGCCTGAAGAAGACTAGCAGTAAGCAGTCGAAACGTCGCGATCTACATCTCAAGTGACTACATCTTGAGACAAACGATAATACACTTTATTATTGCATCTACCACGATGAATAACAACAACCTTTTCCTCGACCTTAATGGGTTTGTTTCTTTATTTGTTTGCTGTTGTTTTTTTCTTGTTTGTTTGTTTTTTTCCCTTTAAAATCTACCAGGGTCAGGAGGGTCTTAAGACCCTAAATGTCATCACGGACGCGAAAAACTAAAACCTCAGCAGGATGGGCCGTAGTAAGTTTACGGCAGGAATTACTAAGCAAGTGTAAGTAAGTTCACATACCTTGTCGGTGCCATGTTCTTGATAACAATAGAAGGACGCGCCATTGTCACTGTATTCGACCTTGTAACTGGTCACCCATTGATCATGTCCGTTCCTCCCCTGCGTCGCTAAATGTGTGATATTTTTGTTGCTGCCCAGATCCGCTTGGAGCCACTGATTTTGATCATTTTGTTTTGCCGACCAGCCTCCCTGCTTTCCACGCCCTGCCTGAAAGTTCAGTCTCCCTTGTATGGCCGCATGGTTCGGATCCCACTCGGACGAAGCGGAAATCTCAGCGTCGGAGATCGCGCGGCTTTCCATTCCAAGAGGATCCCGACATTCTTCGCAACAGAAAAGACGGCGAAACAGAGAGTGAAAATATCATCGAACTACCGTGTGAACAGTGCAGACCTGGTATTACATTAACCCCGTGCTTTTTTGTCTTCTGGGGCAGTGAAGCGGTAATTAAGGGAAGGTGGTACGTCTTTTGACGCCCTCGCCTTATAACTCCTACGGCATGAAAGCTATGGCAATATACTCTTAATTACTGGTCCCGGGCGAGGGAAACACTTAGTTTTGTATCTCTAAGAACCTCGTTGTTTACCGGGACGATGACGAGGGAAATATCGAGATTCAAGGGAAAACAAAACTAACTTTTTCCCACGGGACTAGTAATTAAGTGTTTTGTTATATGTCTAGAGTTTAGTGTAAAGTAGTAAGTCAAGAGGAAGTCAAAGTAACTTCTGGTTAGGGGGAGAGCGGGCAACAATTTCGTTATTGTTGACCGCCGAGACAACCTTTAGATTTAGCGATTGCCACGTGACCATAAATCTATCCACTAATAAAGAGCGCAGATTTAACATAACTCCAGCTATATAGCAATGGAACTTGGATGATTTATAACAGCACTAAAACTGGCTCAAAATATATAGTCAAACCGATTAAGATAACTAAAAATCTAAAAAACGTAGAAGTTACTGCAGGAGAATTCAAAATTTGAAAGACATGCGCGTCAAGATACGGTTGCCATGGAAATATCAATATCTTAACCAGTGGAATGTCATATCAAACCTTTTCACAGATAAACTTTACGAAAAGGCATCATATTTATAGTTCTTTGCCTAAATGATTTTTAAGTTTCAAACCCTCAAAGTTGTTGAGGTGTCTAAAGCAATCCACAGTCTGAATAGGGTTAATAATCAGTTTGAAAGTGTATTTGAAGATTCAGTGAGGATGGCCTTTGTACTTTTTGTGTATTTTCCAAGTAGCTATATTACCCACGCTATGCCGCCCCTTATTACCTAACGTACAGGGCCTATAGATTACAAAACATATAACAAATTGAAAAATAGACAACGGATATAGTCATTGAAAATTTGTATTAAAGAAAATGTAATTCGATTAATTACATATATCTTTAATTATTTTATATTAGATCGTTAACCACAATAATTATTATGTAGAACAAATGAAATTGTTATTATTTTTTGAAGATGTTTCGAAACCCAGCTAAGCGGGTGTTTAACGAGCTTCGCGTGTTTATACGGTGTTTTAATAATTACATATTGATGACCTACCTGGACAACCATAGAGTTCCAT